CCCCCATTTTTTTTTCCTCCTCCAAAAAAAAAAAAAAAAAAAAAAAAATCTCCTCCCGACAAGCATGTCTTGCTTAACACCTGCCAATCGTCAGGGGTAAGTGCAGACTGAGCAGGTGTTTCTAATGTCATTGTATATGGTGCTGCAGGACCATATTGTGTGCAAGCCATTTTTAATTCTTTTAGAGTTTTAAAGGAAATCGGCTCATGCTACTGTTGAGTTTGTCCCGGGATGTCCTCTATCTGCTGTGCATCGAAAAGCTTGCTGGAGGGGGGTTAAAGTGGAGGACATTGGGGTCAGCGGTTGGCATGGTTGTTAAGGGCGCTGGACTCCCACATGGTCGACCGCAATCAAGTCCTGGACCTGCAGCTTCCTTTCTCACTTGTCGTCTCTCTCTCTGGTCAACTTTTAAAAATAAATAAAGTTAAATAAAATATTTTAAATGAATAAATAAATAAAGGGGAGGATATCTTTCCTCTTTTAGCACCATTTGATATACAGCAGGTTTTGACTGGGAAGTAGCTGGCCACAGCTGGGCAGTGCTCTGCCAAAAGGCAGTGGCTCCTTAATCCTCCCTGTCTATGGCTGTTCAGAACCTACAAGCACAAGTCTGCCTGGCTACAAAAGACTGGTTTTCGTTGTCAGGTCCCACCTCTGTTTCCTTGTCTTTAGTTACAGATCCTGACTTCTTAAGGTAGGAGGGAGGGATACCTACCCCTACAGGGTGTTTTTTAGTTGAGTTACCAAACCAGCTCCAGGTTCTCCCAGAGGGTTTTGTCTCAAGCACTCCTTAATTAAATTCCAATGGAGAAGGCAAGAAAAATGGGAATCCTGCTGGGACACCCTGTTACATATTGTTCCCTGATCTGTTCTCCAACCTTATCCCAGGTTTCCTCATTAACTGTTTCCTGCTCCGGGAACTAGGGGCAGGTTTTCTGTACAAAATCCAGGAAATGATGTAACTGCTTGATACTAAATTAATGGCCCCTAGCTTTAAAAAAAAAAAAAAAAAGAATTTTCTTTTTTCACTTTATTTATTTATTTTAATTTGACTAGCGAGGGACAGAGTGAAAGAGAAAAAGAAAGAGAGGGAAAGTGAGAAAGCAAGCTGCCAGGCCTGGGACTCAAACTGCAGTCGGCCATATTGGGAGTCCAGCACCCTTAACCACCACACCTCCTGTTGGCCTTGCCCCCTAGCTTTTAACATATAAGATGTTTAGACATACAGGTATCTCTCTTTAGACCATTTTGTTGCCATGTTTTACACCCAACATTAATTGAACCCACTCCTCTTACTCTGTTCGGCACTGGAGTCAGAGTCGGAAAGGACGGAAGAACCACAGTCAGGCTTGGGATTTAGCAAAGCCAAAATTTATTCGGCAAAAAGCTCTCGGGTGAGGTCCGGCGGTCTGGACAGAGGCCAGGGAGTCACACCCAAAGGGCTGATCTTGTTCTCTTATTGAGGCCCTTGTCCAATGAGCGGTGGCCACAGCATGATGGCGTCCTGTCCTGGCCAAGGGGAGACGATGTTTCTGTTCAGCTGCTGATGGGCGCGCCAAAGGCAGAAGGCAGGAGAGTCCAGGGCTGGCCACACCAGGTGCGGAAGGCGGCAGGAAAGTTTCCGCCATGTTTCTCTTCCCTCCTCCCCGGCTCCGGCCTTAAAAGGACAAGGGCTGAGCCCTGAGACCGCTCTGCTGCTTCCATCTGGGGCCCTCTGGTGCGCAGGGGGTGCAGGAGCATCTGACTAACTGCCACTGGACCGATGGTGGAGGCGCGTTCCCTGAGAAAGCGTGGGACACAGGGCGCAAAGGCCAGGATTAGACACAGCAGTATGATGGGCCCTAGAAACGGGAGGGGCCAGGGTAGCAGGGGTTTTAGGAGAGTTCTATGTTTCTGCCTGTCTTTTATTCGCCATCTGTGTCAGTCTACCCCTGAGGGTTTTATATGGTCCTGAACGATTCCTGATTTATAGACATAATAGCAGCATTCTTTTCCCAGAAAGATGCATAGGGACTCTAGAGAGGTAGTAATTATGGCAATATTTTCAGAAAATTCTTTAGAAAGCTTCTCATAGAAGTGTATGGATGATGGGATGCCCCAATCCCAGTTCCCACTCCTGCAGCTATTCACATTCTGACCAGCGGGCTGGGGTGAGGGGTGGAGTTGAGGCAACGTTCAGTTTTCCCTCAGTGAGGATAGATAGGTTGGGAGTGAGAAACACCAAGACACAGGAGCGAGTGGTAAGGCTGCGAGCAAGAGAACACAACACCTCCACGGAGGACGAAAATCCCAGCGGGGGTTGGGGCACTGGGCAGAGGCATTGGGAGCCAAGGTGAGGTTAGACGTGGAAAGGAGAGATATTGGAAAGCTGTGGAGAGGCAGCGACATTGTGGGCAGAGGTATAACTGACCTGGAATGAGGGTGGTACTGGAATGGCGACCATGAGCCATCTTAACGTGGGAGGCAGAGCCAGCAAGAGTTATTTTGGGTGGGGTCCAGGGAGGCCAGAAAATGAAAAGTAGAGTTGACTGAAGCTGGCACCAAAATTTTCTGTATTGGTCATGTTGGGGGTGGGTTATGATAAACTTTAAGTATTTGTATAATACTCCCAGGGTCCATACCCCAGGCATCTATTCGGATACCTGCCAGTTGGGTGGATGCCAGAGAGAGGCAGATGGGATCCTGATGGTAAATGTGACTGGATTACAGGTCATGGGGGTGCAACCCTGACGGGGCCAAAGTTGACCAGAGGGCTGCTAAGGTACCCCGAATGGTCGAACTGCAGAGTGACCCATGAGGAGCGCCTGTCCCAAGCAGTCTTATTGATAACACCTTGATTGCCCCATGTGTGTCATACCTGGAATTCCCACCCTGTAACTGTCAAGGTGGAGCCCATTCCAAAGGCCATGAGAAGGAGGAGGACAGGCACGGCTAACCACGTGGGGACAAGGCAGCCCCAGTTAGTCAATCCAGTCATTTTAGACTTACTATGATTCCCAGGAGTAAGAGGTATAACACTGCTACCAAAAAGCCTTTTCCAGAACGCCTATTCCTGTGGGACCACTACAGCCAGTCCAACAGAGAGAACTAGGGCTAGTGTTATGGAGAGGGCCTGAACAGATAATTATAGGGGTAGGGCAGAGATGACAGAGGCTTCCGCTGTGAGGGAGAGAAGAGGGTTTCTCTAAGAGTTGGGACGATGGGGTTGACCTGGTCTGGAGGAATGGGTGGGGGAGGGGAGTTAAATCCAGCGGGGGAACAGGCGGCCTGGCAGAGGAGGCCAAAAAAAGGGGGGAGGAGTTCAATGAAGGGTGCTGTGTAATTCTGTAAGGATGTTGTGTAACTTTGTAAGGGTGTCACGGCCTAGGAGGGGTGTGGGGCATGTGGGAATGACAAGAAAAGAGTGGGTAAAGTATATTTCCGAGGCGGCAGGCTGAGGGTTTGGTAGAGAGGACATGAGGGCCAGCCATCACTACCCACAGTGGAGACCTGGGAGGGTTAATAAGGGGCCAGGGTATGTTGGGAAGACGGAGTAGGTAGCGCTGTGTCCACCAGGGAGGTAAACAACTTACCCGCCAACCTGAAGCTGGACTCTGGGCTCAGCGAGGGTAATGGGGTGGTTGAATCCAGGGCCCATCAATCTTCAGCAGATCCCACCATGGCCAGGTTGAAATCAGAGTGGTGGATCTCCTCTCGGCGTGGAGGCGTCAGGAGTGGATCTCGTCTCCCTCTTTTGGGGCAGTCAGAGCCCCAGTGACCCATTTTGCCACACCCTAGGCAGGGTTTAGTGGGCGGCCCGGGATCCAGGCCTTCATGGGCCCAGAGGCCTGGCTTGCTGCATTTGAAGACTGCACCTAGGGACCCCCTTCTGAGGTGCCGGCCACAGGGCAGCTACCAGGCCTTGGGCTTGCATGGCAGCCATCTGTTTGGCTTGTTTGTGTCGGGCTACCTCAGCATCCTCCTCAGGAGTTGAAAACTATAATTGCCATATTCACCAGGTCTCATGTGGTGGTCTGAGGGCCCTGTTCAGCCTTTTTGAGGTTTTTTTTTCCCCCCTGATATCAGGGACTGACTGGGTGATAAAGTGGGTGGCCAGAACTACCGCCCCAGCAGGGTCCTCTGGGAGAGTTGAGTATGGTGCTGCATAGCCTCAGTGAGGCAGCTCAAAAACATGACTGCATTTTTTTCTCGACCCTGGGTGACTTTTTGCAATTTGTCATAATTTACTACCTTTTGGGCTGCTTGTTCCATTCCTGCCATAAGGCATTGCAACATGTAGTCATGTTGCCGGCAGCCAGGGTCACCTTCCTGATATCTCCAGCCAGGATCAACTGCGGGGACTGTCTCAGCACCTACCGCTGTGGTGGAGTCTGCCATGTGGGCCCTGTCAGCATACTCTCTTCCTGCCACCTGTATTCGGTCACGCTCATCTGCTGTCATGGTGGGTGTCATGTCAGGTGAGGTCATAGGCCTGTGTAAGATATCTGAATTCCTTGATAAATTGGGTGGGGTTGGCAGAGAAGGAGCCTCAGCACTTTTTAATGGCGGACAGATCCACAAGGGAAAAAGGAACATGGACTCGAACGACTCCCTCAGCTCCGGCCACCTCCCGTAAGGGAGCCATGACCTGGGGTGGGGGTGGGTCATTCAAGTGTGTTCGACCGGCAACAGGGGAGTACAGAGGGATTGTTGGCCGGGGGGGTGGGGAGGATTTTTGGGGTACGGAGGTGGAGGACAGAGGGTTCGGGAAAGTTTAATGGGAGGGTCAGGAGGGGTCTTGACGGAGAGGAGAGACTCCGGGAGAACAGTGAGAGCAGAGGATTCAGGGGGTTCAGAAGTTTTCTTGGAAAGGCTAGGAGTGGGTTTTCGGGCCTTGCCCACCTTAGCAAGCAAAATCTGGGAGGGAGAGCAGGTAACACAGAGGTGGAGATGAGAGCACAGATACCAAAAAGCCTGAACATGTGGGACCTCCATCCATTTGTCGTTACTCTGACAAAAACTGGTAAGATTGGTCAAGATATTGAAATCAAAAGTGCCCTCAGGTGGCCAGATTGATCCATTGTTTAGTGAATATTTGGGCCAAGCCGTGATCAACAGGAAGATCAGGTGGTGTTTCGATTGTTCAGTCTGATCATAACCTAGCTTTTTCCAATTACAGAGGATACACCTTAAAGGTTTTTGTGGATCAGGTTTGGAAGCAGCAGACCCCATGATGGATTAGACATCGGGTAAAGAGAATGAGTTGAGAGGCGTCCCCCTTGGGTAAAATCTCTCCATGGATAGGAGGGTGAAGAAAATGTTGTCCAGGTGGCCCTGAGACAAGATGATTCTTAGGGTACCCCTGGGGCACCTGGAATGGATGGGGAGTGTTCCTGGCGCAGCTGCAACTACAGACAGGAAAACTCTGGAGGTCCAAAAAACGGGGTGTGGTCACTTACCTTCCCAGCCAGATGACCGCGTGGGAGGTCCAATGGAGGGGCTCTAACCAAGAGGCATCCAGCCCCTCCCAGGTTTTGGCAACAGATGTTAGGTCAGACTTATGATCGGCAGCAGAGTCACAGGCAGCAAGGATGGAAGAACCAGAGTCAGACTTGGGATTTAGCAGAGCCAATAAAATTTATTCTACAAAAAGCTCTCAAATGAGGTTGGTCTGAACAGAGGCTGGGGGAGTCACACCCAAAAGACTGCTGCTCATTCTCTTATTGAGGCCCTTGTCCAATGAGCAGTTGCCACAGCATTATGGTATCCTGTCCAGCCAAGGGGAGATGATGTTTCTGTTCAACTGGTGGCAGGTGCGCCAAAGGCAGAAGGCGGGAGAGTTCGTTGGCAACTGTGCCAAATGTGGAAGGTGGTGGGAAAATTTCCACCATGTTTCTTTTCCCTTCCCCCAGGCCCTACACCTTTTTTTTTGGAGAGGGTTTTGCTATAGGGCACGTGCACGCACTAGAAAAATAGCGACAGAGCGACAGAGCAAGAAATCACCCCATGAGGGGATGGCCACACCACAATCCTTTCTCCATTTTCCTCTCAGGATCTTGGGCACACATGCACATGCGCCTGGCATGAGTTTAAGCCACTGGGTCCAGGACTCGAACCAAGATAGACTATGTGGGAGTCGAGTGACATAGCCATTATACCAACTGTTGGTCCCTATTTATTCCTTCTTTTACTCTATTATCTCCTTTTATTCTATTTTTTATTTTACTCTATTGGTTCCTTACCTTAACCCTATTATCTCCAGCCAACCTCAAGGAGTGTACACTTGCCTGACTCTTCGTAGTTCCCCCGTACTCAGGCCCCATGTTTGGGCACCATGTGCCATGCCCCACACAGCTAAATGAATGTGTGTCTGAGTTGGGGGGACTGTGGATTAGAAGATAAATGTAAAAATAAACACACAAAGACACACAAGCAATGCGGGGGTTGGGAATTGCCTCTTCTCTGATAGAGGCAGCCCCAGCACCGATTCCCAGGTTTATTCTTTTAAAGGGCAGAAAATGGAGGAAGTGGAATACAAAGCTAGTTGTTTTCAGATGTTAATCAGCTGAAGATGCAAAACACCTGGCGCCATGTAGTTCTAGGTAAGTTTTCTCTAATCTTCTGGGGGGCTATTTCTGATTAAATGCACGTGACTTCCTTTAAATTGAGACTGTTCTGCAGTTTCAGACACAGGCAGCTAGCATATTCACATGTTAATGGCATTCATAGCTTTGCAAGTGAACTGCCCATAGAACAGTGTTTCTGAACGTGTCTAAAGGTCACCATGTTTGCTCAGAATGGCTGTTTCCAAAGAAGTTAAAAATGTAAAACTATTTTAAAACCAAATTTGTATTCTGAATCATCTAGAAGGTCTTTATAGATGATTGAAAGCAAAAAGATATATTTTTGTTCTTTATTATCTTTTTATTTTCATTTTTTTCTAGGTACAATAGTAAAAATGTTTATGAGACTTACAGTAGCTAAATCTTATTAAAAAAAAAAAAAGGTTCAGGTGACCACAATGTCTGAATACATAGACTATATATATATTTTTTAGTAGATTTAACTCCCTTGATTACTTCTTCGTGGATATTTCTAAAGGCACTAGCTTACTCAGTGCAAAGAAGACACACAATCATTTGAGGCAGTGTGTTGCAGATGTGCATACACAGAGTGACGGAAGTCCTGCTTCAGTGCACATTGTGCATTGCAGTTTTGCGCAGCTCACTGAACTGTGAATTGCAAGTGAGGAACAACACATTGAACCTGTCAGTGAATAGCAGTAAACTATTACATATATTTATTTGGATTTCTGGACATTATAGTCACCTGAACAATTTTAACTCAGAAGACTAGAATAATCATGTATTTTAAAACCCTGTTAAAATACTCAACATAGGGGACCAGCAGTTAGCGCAATGGCTATGTCGCTGGACTCCCCTGTAGTCGACCTCGGTACGCGTCCCAGACTGGGTGGCTTAAAACTCACACCACGCACGTGTGTGTACGTGCCCAAGATCCTGAGAGGAGAATGGAGGAGAAGGGATTGTGGCATGGCCATCCTCCCTGGGATGATTTCTTTCTTTCTGTCTCTCTCTGTCTGGCGAGCGCACATGCCCAATAGCAAAAACCTCTAAAAAAAAAAAAAAAAAGTCAACATAAAAAGGGCTTAATGCTCTGCTCTATGAAACATCTCCTGTATAAATGGTATTCTAACTGATCCCATTTTGTTCTGATCATTAAACTTACCTGCATAAATTGAACTGTAAAAAAAATAAAGATGCTGAACACTCCCACATGGCCAACAATGGTTCGAGTACCAAATCTTAAGGCACGTGTGCTCGCCAGACAGACAGAGAGAGACATAGAGACAGAAAGCGAGAAATCACCCCCCAAGGGGGATGGTCATGCCACAATCCCTTCTCCTCCATTCTCCTCTCGGGATCTTGGGCACACACGCACACGGTCCCGGCGTGAGTTTTAAGCCACCGGGTCCGGGACACGAACTGCGGTCGCCTACGTGGGTGTCCAGCAACATAGCCATTACGCTAACTGCTGGTTCCCAAAAATAAACATTTTTAAAAGATGCTTTTATGGGACCAGAAGATGGCATAATGGTTGTCATTGGACGACTACATAGTCAGCCACAGTTAGAGATCCAGACCCAGCAGCTTAAAACTCACATGGGGATGGGGGCTGGTGGCTAGTAGGTGGTGTGGTGGTTAAGGGCCCTGGACTCCCACATGGTGGACCATGGTTTGAGTCCTGGACCTGGCAGCCCCTCTCTGGTCAAATTAGAATAAATAAAGTTAAATAAAAAAAATTTTTTGGAGAGGTTTTTGCTATAGGGCATATGCACTCACCAGAAAGACAGAGAGGGACAGAGAGACAGAAAGCGAGAAATAACCCCCCAGGGGAGATGGTCATGCCACAATCCCTTCTCTTCCATTTTCCTCTCAGGATTCTGGGCATGCACGCACACGCGCCTGGTATAAGTTTAAGCCACCGGGTCCAGGACTTAAACCATGGTGTCGACTACATGGGAGTCCAGCGACATAGCCATTATGCCAACTGCTGGTCCCTAAATAAAATAATTCTTAAAAACAAACAAACAAACAAACAAAAAAGCTCATGCTAGGCACGTATATGTGCATGCCCAAAATCACAGGAGAATGGAGAGAGTGAATTGTGGTGTGGTGATTGGTGACTTCTAGCTTTCTGTCTCTCTCTCTGGTGAGCGCACATAACCTATACCAAAAAAAAAAAAAAAAAAAACTGTCTAAAAATAAGTTAATAAGGGGCCGGCAGATGGCATAGTAATCAAGGCACCAGATTCCCACATGGCTGACCACAGTTCAAGTCCTAGACTTGGCAGCTTGCTTTCTTGCTTTTCCTCTCTCTCTCTGTTGCTCTGTGGTCAGATTGGAAAAGAATATGATTAACGCCCTATAGCGAAAACCTTTCCAAAATAAAATTAAATTTTAAAAAATAAAATTAAATAAAATAATCCTTTAAAAATTAATAAATATAAATTTAAAAACAAGTTTTAAAAAAAAGGTGTTTTTACATGGGGCAAGCAGATGGGATGGCATAGAGGTTACATAACTGGACTCCCATATGGCCAACTGCGATTTGAATCCCAGACCTAGGGACTCAAAAACATGAAACATGCCTGGTGCGCACATGTGTGTGTGCCCATGATCCTAGGAGGAGAATGGAGGAGAGAAGGGATTGTGGTGGGACAATTCCCCCAGTGGGTGATGTCTCAATTTCCCTCTCACTGTTTTTAGCTCTACAGCATGCACATGCGCCATAAGGCAAAAACTTCTTTTTAAAAAAGGATGCTTTTACAGTTGTTTGTACCATGTATTAACATATAGGCATCCCCCCACAAAGTAAGCTTTATTGCTTAAATGTATGTCACAAATTCCAGATCTTTAAAACAAAATTTTGCGTTTCTGTGATTCACCATAAGGACTTTCTTAAAATCAGTTGATATGATGTTAGCTAAGATTTTATTGAACTCTATAAGTACTTTACACACACAATCACTTTCTATCCTCTCAGCAGTGCTGAGATACAAGTATTTTACCCTCACTTCATAGATAGGGAGCTGGAACTTTGAGAGGTTAAATCACTTGCCCAAAGGCCCC